TAGCTGCCTGAATATCTTCTTTGGTGAAGTGTCTGTTCATGTCCTTTGTTATCTCATGTATTTTGATGCTCTGTTGTTAGGTGCATACATACTTAGAATTGTCATGTCTTATTGAAAAGTTGACCCCTTTATCATTATGTATATGTATCTGATGTATCATCCTTGTTCTAAAGTCTGCTTTGTCTGAAACTAATATAGTTATTCCAGCTTTCTATTAGTGTTAGCATGGTATATCTTTCCCCATCTCTTTATTTTACTGTCCTGAGTCTTTATATTTAAAGTAGGATTCTTGTATAGAATGTATAGTTTTTTTAAAAAAACTGTTATGATAATCTCTGTCTTTTAATTAATGTATTTAGACCATTCACCTTTAAAGTGATTACTGATATATTTGGATTAATACCAATCATCTTTATAACTGTTTTCTACTCATTACATTTATTCTTTGTGGGGTTTTTCTTTATCCCCTCTTTTTCTGCCTTCTCTGGTTTTAACTGAGCATTTTCTATGATTCCATTTTCCCTCCTTTCTTGACATATCAATTATACTTCCTTATAAAAATTTTTAATGGCTAGAGTTTGCAATCTACATGTTTAATCTAAATCCACCTTCAAATAACACTGGACCATTGCAGTAGTGTGTGTTTTGCCCTGTGACCAATTCTCTGATGAGTCTAAGAAAAGTCATTGACTTTCAATTTGTTCAGCTTTTCTTGTTTTAAGAGTGGGAGTGAAGACTTGCAGGAGCTGACACTGGAAGTCAAAGTAATATCTGAATACTTTTTTTTTTTTTTTTCAGTAAATTTATAGTCTTTATAGAAGTCCCTGGAGCTCTGGTGGTGCAGTGGTGAAGAGCTTGGCAGTTAACCAAAAGGTCAGCAGTTTGAATCCACCCGCTGCTCCTTGGAAACCCTATGAGGCAGCTCTACTCTGTCCTATAGAGTCACTATGAGTCAGAATCAACTCAACAGCAAGGGGTTTGTTTTTCTGTTTTGTTTTGTTTTTTGGTTTATAGAAGTCCTGGGTGGTGTAAATGATTAAGCACTCAACTACTAGCTGAAAGGTTGATGGTTCGAACTCACTCAGAGGCACCTCAGAAGACAGTCCTGGCAATCTGCTTCTGAAAAGTCACAGCCTTGAAAACCTTATGGAGCAGTTCCACTCTGTACACATGGGGTCACAATGAGTCAGAATTGACTCGACAACAACTAACAACAACAACATGGTCTTTACTAACCGGAAAGAAAACAATTCCATTGAAAATTCTTGAGAGCTCTGTGAGTCAACAGAGCCACGAAAGTGAGAAACAGGAATGGCTACTCCCTGGGTCAGGAGAGGGCACATGTCACTCTGTAGATTGGGCCCGGTGACAAGAAGAAGGCTTTTCTCACTAAATGATCAGAGACCTGGGAAAGAAGTAGGTGGTGCAGAAGGTTCCAGCCACTTGGCACAAGCCCACCTGCACTCCCCAAGAGCCAGCTATGAAACAGGAACGGTGACAAATGCTGGGAAGTGATGATAAATGGTCCAGTTGGGCTTTGAGGATAAGTACTGCGCCATGTAATGCATGCCGACTATGAGGCAGGTACCAACATAGATGAGTACAATTTGATTTTTACTACAACCCTTCACAGTTTTCCCCTATTGGGGTGTGGCAACATGCTGAGAGAGGTGAAGGGACATGTCCGTTGTTATTAAGCTCATGGAGAACAGACAACACTGGAGCCCAGCTCTGCTGGAGTCTGCTGGGACACATTCTTCACTGCCCCGCAGCCCACTGCAGTACTTTCTCAAACTTTTGGCACCCACGTGGTACCCTCTAAATAGGCTTTTAGCACATTCACAACTGGATTTTTATTTTTTGGTTCGGGGAGTTTTTGTTTTTGTTTTTTTTAAACAATGCTGCTTTTCCTTGTAAGTTAGAAAGTCCTAATTCACGATTTCACAGTTATGTCCTCACCAATGGCAGCGAGGGAGTGGTAGCTCAGATGGAGAAGCCAGGCAGAAAGAATGAGGATGATCTCCCAAGCTTGGAAGTGGGGAAGGGCTTTCCTGGCTGAGAGACCCGTATGAGCAAAAGCATCACAATTGGGATTATCATGGCTATTACAGGAACAGGGACGGTTCCTTTAGAACTTTCTCCTGAGACTGTCTATGAGGACTAAATACAATAACATGGGTAAGACATGGAGCTCAGGGGCTGATAGAACTGCAAACCGTAATATAAAAGAAGCTTACAGCTGCCTTCCACATAACTCGTTACCTGGACCAGCCCATACTCTCTCTTCCTGCTGGAGAAGGATATTTCAAATGTAGCCCAAGCCCACCATCTCTACCTGTCTGCTCCCACCAGTGGTGCTGCCTCCAAGAGCTCCTTTTCCCCCAAACCTTTTTATGCCCATTGCATTTATTATCATAACTATGTACCTTATTAATACATGAATTAATGGCATTCATGTGTGGAAAAGAATTGTATCTGTGAATTGCTGGCAAATCGGGTGGAAGACAACTGTAAAACACTAGAGGGGTGGAGACACTAAAATTTTGAAGAATTCTCAACTCAGATTGTTTCACAAATGCCTTTAAATTCTTGATTCATTTTAAAGAAACCAGATCTGGAAATAGTAGATGTTGTCCTGGGTGTGATTTGTCCATGACATAATCCAGACTGCTAGTAATGGACCTGGCCTTGGGCCCAGGTCAGAGACTAGCACATAAATGTGTATCAATATGTTTTAAGCTGAAATAAAATATTGACTTATGATGGTGTCATTTTAATGAACCAGTCAAGCATTTCTTGATCAACTTGGATGAAAGATTCCACTACAGTGAAAATTTACAGAGAACTAGCTCCAGGCAATGCAGTGTTTTGAAGTTTAACAATCATGCTACTTTATTTTTGCCCAGAACTCAAATCCCACACATCCTGGGAAGGACATCTGACTTTCCCCAGCTCTGTTCCTGAGTGAGGGCTGGGGGCCGGCCAAGGGCTTTACTTGGTGTGTATCATTCAAGTTTCCACTTGTGAGGCAGATGCCACCCACACCCTCAGGATGTGGTCTTCTGCAGCAGCTCAGAGGCTACATCCTATGAGTCTGCCCTGACCCACACCACTGGAACACATCTCCTCTTATCACAATGATGTTGAAGAGGATAATTCTTACAAATGAAGATTAAATTTAAAGATGAGTTTAAAGAGGAGTCCAGCGGTCTTTGAGGAGAGAAGTCTGGCAGGGAGCTGGAGGCTGCTCCCAGCTCTCAGTGGGGAAGGCCCAGACTAGAGAAGGGGCCAGGGACAAAGGAACCAAGGATTATCCCCTCCATTGCTTCCTGAGAGGCCCCTTGATAGAAGACAGGCATGGGCTTTATCCAGGGTAACAACGCTGGGAGAAGAGGCCACATGCCTGTGTGTACGTGTGTGCATGCATGTGTGTGTGTGTGTGTGCGTGTGTGTGTATGTGTGTCTGTGGGTGTGAATGTGCATATGTGAGTGCAAGTAGCTGTGTAAGCATATGTGAGTTTGTGTGTATGTTTGTATGCATGTGTGTGCATGTGTATGTGAAGGTGAGTGCATTGTGTATGCATGTGTGTGCAAAAGTGTATGTGCATGCACACATCTGTGCATGTGTGAGAGGGGCATGTGCATATGTATGCACGTGTGTGTAGGAGGGTGATTCCCACATGTGACATGTGTGAGACCCAGGAAGGCATCTGGAAGTCCAGGGAGACAGGGTCAGAGGCAGCCGAAAGGCCCTGGGGGTGGAATCCTCTGGGATAGATGAAATGTCCAGGGAATGATGTGGGGGGACCAGAGAAACAGTCAGCAGGGTAGAGGAGACTCAGGAGGGGCAGGGGCGGACAGGTGTAAGCTTTCAGAAGAAGTAATCATAAGGAGAAAGGGGCAGAGACAATAGTGAGATAACGCTTCTCCGTATAAAGAGCTGTTGCAGGCAGGCTGTCCCAGAAGGTCAGAGCAGTTTGAGGGCAGAGGCTGAGGCAGAGGAGGCGAGAGAAGAGACAGGAGGTTAGGGAGCAGGATTAAGGATGTGTTTCCATTCAGTTTTTAAGACGGAAGAAACAGGGGCTTTTGATAAGTTGAAGGGAAGGAGCAAACATAGAGGAAGAGGCTCAGGAACCTGGGATGGCAGGGGCTAATTGAGATGGGAGGGGTGCTCAGCTCAGACCCGGGAGGGAGGAGGTTTAGGAGGCACCGCACCCTCCCAGGCAAAAGTCAAGAAAGCCTCTGGGAAGAGAAGTGCAGTTGGGTTTGCAAGGGAGACTTGGCAGCAGGCAGGAAAGCATCTTGAGACAGAAGCACTACCTTGGTGCTGCAGAAGCACAGACTGCATCCAGAAAGGCCGCACAAAGACCAGGAATTTCAGAAACAGAGACAGTGATATATTTCAGTAACTGTCCACTGTATCAAAATATTCCCATGTGAAATGTGTACTCCAAATATGTTTATATTATGTAAATGTGTCTGACGATCTGGCCAATAAATATTTTAACATTTAGCAATATCATCACATCAAGCTTTGATTGACATTTTAACTTTCATTGCAAATTTGCTTTGACTGTGGATCAAGAAATATACAGAGAAAGCCATTCTTAAATATAGGTCAATTATTCTTCTTTAATCCATTTCAAAAATCACTGCTACATATTTGATTTTGCATTTTCTAGTCAGTATTTTCCCATGTTCTTTAAAAACAGAAGCATGAGCTTTAGAAGAGCGAAAATACAAGTATTTACATACAACGTGATGAAGCATTTCATGATATATAAATTAAGATACTACAAGTTACTGTGTAGAAAAAATACACTTACAGTGAATAAATAAACTAATAACTTTATATACCAAGTAATGTGGAGTATAAAAAGTCATTCCTATATATATACAGATACATATATATATAAAAGTGTGTGTGCATTCTAGAGAATAAATATACTATGTATACTTAAATATTTTGTGCGAAGTAACGTATTACACTGCATTTGTGTTCAGCTTTGTAAATTAAAATACTGACGGCAGTGGGGGTCTCCCCTGACCTCTGGAACCCCTGGGATCTTCTTTCCATTCCATGGGTACACACACCAGCAGAGCCCCGCCTCGCCCTCCAAGGATGTCTCACACTGCAAAGACAAGACCCAGTCTCAGGAGCAGCAAAGGCAAGTGAAACCGGCTATACTCAGGCAAAGCCCTGACTCCAAAAAGCTGTGACCTTGGGCAAAGCAGATACCCTCTGTTCCTCATCATCAAGTGCCTAGTGCAGTACTGTCTTCATGTGCTTGTTAAATGGTCAAGCGTTGCGCAAAGCTGTCTGTTTTCATGGCCCTGAGCAGCTGAGCCCAAGGGGTGGCAGAAGGACACTTCCTGAATGGTACAAACAATGCCTGTGCCATGGGCAGCCACTGTTTCTCATCTGTGATAAAGCAGCACCCGGTCCTCAGTTTCCCCCAATAAAATCCACAGAGTCTGTGCTTTGCCGAATCTTAAAATCCTCCTCAAAATTAAATCTTAGTTTGTTTTATCTCATTTATTATTTGCCAATCCAAAAACATGCTACTGTATTTTATTATAGAGCTCTTTTCCCTTTGTGGGGATAAAAAAAAATGTCCAAGTAGATACTTTCCTAAGTAGAGTTTGTTCCATTCCTCTCATATGACAGAGAAACCTAAGGTCCAAAAAACTAGGGACTTGTCCAAACTCCCCATCCACACACGCTTGTTAAGTGATGGCCCTAATGCTCAGCCCCAGACGCCCCGTCCCAGGAGGTTGTCCTCCACTGGCTGTGAAATGCTGAGCTGTCCTTAGGTTATCTTGGGCTAGCTACTCCTGGTTCCCAGGGGTGGGGACTCTTACTTAAAATTACAAGTGTAAGTCCCTCATGGTGCAGATCTAGGACTGATGCCTTGGGATGAACAACCACAATTTTTCAGGGATGTGGGACAACCAGAGCTGTCCCTGTGAGGCCACACATCAGCAAGGTTTGCACACCTGTTTGCTGTGATAAAATCCATTCTTGTTGCAGTTTGGTAGATAAAATTTGTAAAGTTCTTCTCCAGCCTTCTGTTGAGCCTTGGCTAATCTATCCAGTACTTTGTAGAGTTCTCTTTGGCATGGCTCCTAAAAGAAGAATCTGACATTAGTATAAATGACAAGAGAAAATGAATTATCATTAAGAGATCACTGTCTGAACTGTAAGTGAGGGTGGTTAATCTGTGTCTTGAGTTGTCAAGATAAAGGACAGGAATTTCATTCACCTACACTGAGAGAGAGGTGGCCCAGGGAGTAGCCTAGCTGACCCCACAAAGTCTTCTTGACTCTTCTGGCCACCCACTGAGTAACTCTGGCACCAGGTACCTGGCTGAAAGAGAAGTGAGCACAGCTCTCTCAATGGAGAATTTAACAGGACGATGTCTAGGTCTCAAACAACTTTCTTCTGCAATCTACAATGTTATCTCACATAAACGGAATCAAGTAGGGATTAAGGTGCTTGTTCAGAGCCCTGGTGGTGCAAAGGTTAAGAGCTTGGCTGCTAACCAGAAGGTCGACAGTTCAAATCCACCAGCCGCTCCTTGGAAAGCCTATGAGGCAGTTCTACTCGCTATGAGACAGAATGGAATCAACGATGATGAGTTTGGTTTGATTTGGTTTGGTTTTAATAATTTAAGTATTAACTTTCCTTCATTTGTCATAATTTCCAGGCGAAAGTCTGAAGTATCCAGAAAATTGGTTCAATTCTCCACTTTTCTGGGTGTGTGTGTTTGTGAAATTTCTTTTTTCCCTCAAATCAACTCAAGTGACTCCAATGTTTACTCTATGTCGCCTTCAAGTGGTAAAATTAAAAACAGACTTCAGTTAAGATGAGCTGGGGACAGGGGTCAGGGGAAGATCCTTATGTTGGGCTTTAGAATAGTTAAACTGGATGCTCTTTAGAGATAGTCTAGTCTGACATCCTCATTGTAGAGATGAGCTCAGAGACACGAAGTAACATATCTAAAGTTACACAGGAGGAATTGCACTATCTTTCTGCTCCAACTGGTTCCTCTAAAGACTACTGAAAGTACTTGTGCTAACAAGCTTGGTAAAGCTAAGGTGAGAAGTGTCTACCAGGCTTTGGGAAGACAAGTCTTCTTGTGCAGGGCTTCAGGACCAGGAAGGAGGCCACAAGGCTTCAACCTGGAGAGAGTGCCTACCACCAGAGGGGCCTCACCTTCCATTTTTTGATGCCCGTGATCTCGCGAGACTTGATGCTCTGGTAAGTGCTGATGGCGTTCCAGAGGATAGACTCGGCCTCACCAGAAGGGGCCATCAGGTGGAAGCTGCCCAGGAGCTGCTCCTGTGTCATCTCTGAACTCTCAGCAGGCCCGTTCTCTGGGTCTGAGTAGTCCTTCAAGTCTGAAATGCAGCAGGCAGTTCCTTTGAGCTCTCCACCAGCATCTGCCCTGTGCTGCCCCCTGAGTCACTTCTGAACCAGACCTACACATGCCTTCCTTCCCTCAAAGCCAGGCTGGGGCACAAGGATGACCACATTCATCCAAATTGTTGCCAACTCTCTTTCTAGAAGCACTTCAAATGGTTCTGGGGAAGAGTGGTAACAAAAGCAATACCCATTCCGTCCTGGAAAAATATGTTTCGGAGTCTTGCAAGGTTTCCCTGGGTTTTTGCGTCTATGGTAACTTCTAGGAGGGGAGCAACAACATATTTGTGGAGGTATGGGAAAAGCTTTGAAGAAGTCAGGGATTAGGGCTCAATTCTTGACTCTATTAGCTGAGAGTCCTAGGAGTATTACTTGTCCTGTCGGAACCAAGGTTTCCTCATCCATAAAATGGGAATTTTAGTACCATCCTATGAATAGGCAGTGTAGGTTTCATTTAGATGGGGGGAGGTCTATGGCCCTCCTGACCCATAGCCCTATACCCTTCCTTCCCCAGGGTCCCTGCCCTCTCACATAAGAAATGACTCCTTTGGCAAGTCACTAGACATCTTGTAGATAGAGTTCAAGGGTTTGGATTCAGTGCGTGGACAGAGTCATGGAGAAATGATTCTAATGGAATCTGCTGTGAGAATCAATCTCCTTGGGGACCGTTAGAACTGTCCTCTTTATGGAGTGGAAGGCGTCCATTTATTTACAGAAGCATTTCATTTACTCTGAAGGACAGAGAATGGGCAGGAAAAGCTCGTCTCCTTCTTGGAAGGGTCATGCACTCAAGGCAGATCCCTATCGGGGTATGAAACCATGAGATTCCTCTGAGAATCCACACAGGATGTGCAACCAGCCCAGATGGGGAGGTAGGAAGTCAGGAGTAGGGAAGAGGTATTTCCTTTGCTTCCCACTACAAATAAACTGCTGCTTAAATTCAGGAAAGAACCTGACTGTCAAGTTCTTAGGAGGCCACTGCAACATACACATCAAACATTGTTTTTCTACGGCAATGAATGAAAGTGGAATATTTAGCGTAAACTCTCACATTATGTTCTGTGAACATCTGGGAAGGGCATACTGTAGCCAGAGGACATATATTACAAAGAACATTCCAAGCTTGTTGAGGGGGGTGGTGGGGAGGACAACAGGAGAGATGCCCACCTCATTCAAGGAGGCTCCATCCCTGGGGCCGCCCACATGTCACAGAGAGGAGGGCGGGGCTGCCGGTGTCCTCTCCCTGCCAGGGCAGCCCGATTCTGCTCCCTCCCTCCGCCCTCACTCGAGGATCTAAACAATGTCTGAGTGTCTATAGATCACTGGGCTGTGGGGCACAAGAGCCGTGTCCTCTCCTCTACTCTCCCACTAAGTTTCACGTGTCCCGGTACTTTCCGTTCTTCTCCCTGGGCATCTCTTGCCAGGGTGAACTCCACTGGCTGGTCTGAGGTCCTTGCCGCTACATGCTTTGGGACTCGCCCTGGGGCTTTAGACCAATCCCTTCCCCGCCTAGACCTCAGGCCCCAGGCCTGCCATCTGTCCCGAGAGGCCGGTAGGGGACAGACTGAGGAGGCTCACCTGTGGCCTCGGCACGAGGGGAGGTACCAGCATCGTCTGGCTCAGGCAAACAGGCGCCCTGGCCGCGGATGAGGGCGTGCAGGGGCCGTGGCTCCCCCGGCAGCGCTCGGCAGCTCAGCCCGCGGCCACAGCGCGCGGTGCTCACGCCGCATGCCGCACCCAGCTGCAGGGCGCACGTCGGGCAGCAGCCGCAGCCCGCTGGCCGGGCGAGCTCCTGGCACGAAGCGGGCACTGGCGGGCAGAGCGCCAGCTTCTCGTCGGAGCAGGGCGCGCAGCGCCAGGGCGGAGGTGCGGCCATCGCGCCAAGGAGGGTGCCCAGCAGGAGCAGCAGCGGCCAGGCGCGGGCAAAGAGGGTCTCGGGCATCGCCGGCGGCGAACGGTGGCAGACGGTGGCAGGCGGTGGCAGGCGGTGGCGGCGGGCTGGAGGCGCGGTGGCAGATGGAGGCAGCGGTCCGGAGGCGCAGTGGCGGCGAGAAGTGGCCGATGCTCGCTGGGTACCGCGAGGACCTTATGAAGGGCGCGGAGCGCTCCACCGGGACCAGGCGGTTAATGATTGACAGCGCTTTGCGCTCTGAGCTGGATACTCCAATGAAGTTTGTTTTGCTTCTCCTCGTGCGCTCAAGGCCCTACGCAAATCGTGGGTGGTAGGAGGGTAGATGGTTTGGGTTTCAGGTTTGTGTTTGTCCTGTTATGTGAGGCCAAAGTTCAATTCAACAACAAGCACGCCTGCCAGGTGGAGGGATGGCACTTGTGTAAGGGCCATCTCCCGGGCCTAGCTCGCCAGCGCTCTTAGACTTGTCCAGGGAAAGCCCAAAAGATAAGCAACACCCAGCCCACCCGCCAGTTTTCAAATGGGGAAACCAAGGCCCATAGTGAGGAAGCTCACGGACTGGGTTAGAACCTAGGTCTCTGCAAGCCCTGGGGGGTGCCATTTTGCCAAAGCCCAGAAGGGCTTCTGTCTCCACATGAGGAAGGCCCCACAACCTGAGGTAATTCCTGTGAGGAAGGAAGAAAGGAAGTGAGGGAGGGAAAGAGGAAGGAAGAAGGGGAGGCAGGGAGGGCAAAAGGAAGGAAGTTCTGCAGGTGCAATGATCACTTAGGGGGCCGTGTGGGATAGAGAAAAGAATTCTGAGGCTAAGAGGGCACAGATCTGTGTTAACAATGTCACCCTCAGCTCTTTTTCCTACAGATACAACCGCATCTGTGTGAAAAGGTGCATGAACCAGCCTCTGCTCTGAAGCCTTGTTTGTAACAACTGCCAACAACGAGGGTGCTGGATAAGTGAAGGATGGGGCATCCTTTCACTGGAGCATACCAGCCAGGAAAATGAAAGGGGCAACTCTATTTGCAGATGGGGAACAATTTCTCTTAGCTATTCAAGTTAAGTAAGATCTCTAAGTTAAGAAAAAATTGGAAGGTCCAGAATATGCTATCGTTTGTTTACAAAAAGTAATATGAATATACACGTAACTGTGATTCTAAATTTGCAGAGTATCTAGGAAAGAATGCATAAAAAATTTGTAACAATGGCTACTTCTGGGGGGAGAGGATGCAAGTGCGTAAAGAGAGTCTTGTTTTCACTGCATATCCTTTTTTAACCCTCTGAATTTTCATTGTGTACTTACATTACCTTTAAAAAAACTGAAAATTAAAATTAATTTGCTGACTACTTTTCTAGCCCCTTCACTGGTTCTATGACCTTAGGCAAATTACTTGACTTCGTTGAATTGGCTTTTTTTTTTTTTTAACCTATAATCTATCAGTAAATAGCAATAGCTATAATACATCTTTGGCAACAATCAAATTGAGATATGTGAAAATAACTGTAATTGGAAATTCATGGACATGTTTGTCATTCTTTACACAGTATCAACAATTTTTTAGCACCTGGGTAAGGAAATGACCAATGATTCTGAAATTTTGAACACTGTTTTTGATGCAGTCCCTGGAAAATGTTATTTCCAAAAGAAGAATTGTTGCTCTGAATTTTCTCATTGATTTCCTCAACTTAATCCCCAGTAACACAGCATCCAAGAACAGTATCCACACTTACAACGTTTTCTCAATGAAACCTTGGAAAGAATCATCTAGTCAACACTGGGGGAACGCCTACTGTGTGCCGGGAACTTGGCCCGGCCTGGGCAGCTCCCTAGCTGTGAACATGGCCCGTGTTTGTCCCCTGCCCTAGTTCTCTGTGGCTTCCCGCCTTCTGCATATTGTGAAAGTTCCTCTCCTCACCAATCGATTTCCCAAATGTTTCCATTGCCTGACTCATGGTGACAGAAAATCAAACCACCACACAAACCACCATGAACACTGACAGCTCCCCCTGTCCCCCGACATGCTGTCAAAACAAATGGAGCCAGGCTCCTTCCCGGTGTCTATGCTGGGCATGTGTCTATGGGTCCTGGGTGTGGGGTGAGTCACAGTTGAGCTGGGTGCTCTGGACCAGAGACCACTGCTGGTGCATCCATGAATTCCTAGATGCCCTGGGTCCATTGGCTGGAGGTCAAAGACTAGCTTGGCATTCGGTGCCCCTGTGGTCTGACTCCCACTGCCGGCCAGGAATGAGGGTGGGGGGTAGAGGGGTGCGAGTGAGGCATTGAGGGTACAGAATACAAGGAGCAAGGAGGCAAGGGCAGAGGGCAGGAAGAGTGTGGTGGAGAGGGAATACTCAGCATTTCTTCCAGGATGGAGGCTGGAATACATGGGGAAGGAAGCTGCAGGTGAGGAGGTGGCACTGTAGGTTGGGGCAGGTAGCAAGAGGCCTGGCTTTTGTGTGGAAGGGTTTAGACGGCACTGGGGGGCTTCAGCAGGCCAGAGAGCGCACTCCTCAGGCACCAGCAGCCCACAGGCACCAGGAGAGAGCTGGGAATCAAACCGTGAATAAGACATAGCCCTTCCCTTAAAGAGCTTTCCAGCTAGAGAAGAAAGCAATGAACAAACAGTTTAACACGTTAGCCTACGATAACACGTTGTTGTTGTTACCGTTAGTGGCTGTGGAGTTGGTTCTGACTCACGGTGACCTCGTGTATAACAGAATGAAACACTGCCTGGTTTTGCGTCATCCTCACAATCTTTGGTATGTTTGACAGACAGGTAGTGATTACAATTAGCCTGCAATAAATGCTATGAAGGACAGGGTTGCAGTTACCCCTCTATCCCAGCACCAAGCACAGTATGCCCATGGGTGCCTTGCACATTTGACAAGTGACTGTGGAATCCCCGAGGGGAGAGCCCCTGGACACAGGCATAGAAAGCAGGGCATGGGGGTCGGGGGCCGGGTGGGGGCAGGGGAGCTAGTATTTCTGATTATATTTACCTCCTGCCAAGCCACAGCTGGACATGCCACATGCTGCCAGCTGGCCCACCTCACAGTCGTGTGAGGGTGGTATTATCACCACCACTGTCACATGGGGAAGGACGCTCAGTCTATCTGGAAGCAGTGAGGCTGGGGGTCAAGCCTGGTGTCATGCAGCGTCAAAGCCTGTGTGCCCCTTCTGTCAAACCACATAGGATCTGACGTAGGGCAGGGCCAAACGTGTGTGTGTGTGTGTGTGTGTGTGTGTGTGTGTGTAGGGGTGACTGGGGGGTTGGATGTGGGGAGGAAGGCTTGAAAGGTCATTTGGGGGAGACAAATAGGAAGCTTTCAGTGCCAGGCTGTGGAATTTGCATTATGTGAGCGAGGCAAAAAGAGCATGAACTTGCAGACAGAGTGTCAAGGACTTGGGACACGCCCAGCATCTCTTGCCTTGTTGTAAATTCTCTGCGAAAGAAACACCTGTTATCATTTCAGAAAAGACAAGTGAGACATAATGTGGGCAACCCGATTGTGTAACTGCAGGGGCGCTATAGGAACAGAGCCCGCACACAGCATGTCCACAGCTAGTTCAGTGGCCCTTCATGAAACCTTTGCCTTTGGATCACAAAAACCTGTAAGTACAGGTGGCGACTGGTACATTTATTACCTCCACTAAAGGGGGACCATGGAAGCCGTTCCTGGTCAGCACAGCGGCTCTGGAGCCAGACTGCCTGTGTTTGAACTTCGGCTCTTCCACTTCCTAGCACAGCACCCTGGGTCTCAGTTTCCCCACATGTAAAATGGGGGTAACGAAGTGGCTGGCACTAGTAAGCACTTAATAAACATGGGCTGTGGTTGTCTTCTTAGCCACGCTGACAGGTTTGCAGGCCAGGCTTCCACCCTAGGCCTCGGCTGCATGGGCTGGGGTGCCTCAGGACAGGCATGCTGCCCTAGGGGATGATGAAACCCCACGGAGCTTCCGTAACCCACTGTTCTCAATTCTACCTTCATGCGGTGTGCTGCTTACCCACCAGCAGCGGAAAAATTGAGCAATCTGTGCTCTGAAAAGCAATGCAAGGGTCAAGGGCAAAGTCAAACTTTCAAAGGAAAAACCCTGCAATCCAGGGGATCCTCAAAAGGGAAATTGTTTTTAACATTTTTTTTTAACAGAAGGATGTCCCACCCTTGTTCCACAGTAAACACAGAGAATGATGCAAATCTGTGCAAAGGCCTGGTGGTGCCCTTATCTCCCAGCAGATGAAAGGCCACTGGCCGAGCTGATGTAAAGGCTGCAAGGAAAGCTCACGTCTACCCTCCCTGTTAAGCATAGTGGAAAAGTCATCCACCTCCTGTCACATCAACAAAGTCCAGATTCTAAACACAGGAGCTGAAGTGGCACACCCAGGGTCAGTGCCCAGGGGTCAGTCGAGAGACCCAGGTTTTCATCTCAAGGCTCCTGGTAAAGCCATACCTTCACATTCAGGGCTTCTGCTAGCATTAGATTAACTACGGCCATGTATGTATGAAGTGCCAGACACACAGAAGGTGCTCACCCGCTATCTGATCCCATCCTACTTCCTGTACCAGAGGCTACGAGAGCTGTGGGCCCTTCCTCTGATCTCTCACTTCTATTTAATGTGTAATGGTTTAGACTAGCCTCAGCATCACCACAGAATTTGGAGGAAATGCAAATTCTCATGCCAGCCCCAGACCACCTCCTAAATTAGGAAGTCTGGCATGGGCCCAGCAATCTGAGCTTTGAGGAGCCCTCAGTGGCCCATCGGCTCTAATATTCAGCCTGCCCCTTCACCCCAGCCATGACAGGCCCCATCAGGCTGGCCTCATCCCTCCCACTTCCAGGATGCTAGATCCAAGCTAGTCTCCTTAATGCCCTCCCACCCATACACTGTAAAAAATCCCCCCTCCATCCTGACACCCATTTGATATTGTCAGAAAGGCTGCTAAACTGAAAAATGGCCCAGAATCTGCCAGGTCTAGGGGTGATCCTGGCTCCTCTGCTTGCTAGACCTATGACCTCGGGCAAAAAGTGACCCTTCTGTGCC